TCCGGCTTTTTCTGTTTATGTGGTGCTGAGGAATCGAACCCAGGGCCTCAGGCATGCAAGGCAAGCACTCAACCACTGAGCCACCTTCCCAGCCCTTCAGTGACATTTAGATACATTTGTATGAAGGGGTCAACTCCCTTCTTTTACAAATTAGATTTCCAGCCATTCAGGGTTTATCAATCTCTGTGGCTACTGCAATTAATAAAGGGAAAAGTATCTTGGGGATCTTGTGATTGTGGGCACAACTTCTAAAAGAGAAAGCTCTGCTTACTGCATTCCTAGGCCAGCTCACTTTCCGATGTTGTATTCCCAGTGAAATGAACTTTCTCCTAGAAGAGTCTTGAAGGACAGCTAGGGATTAGGAATATGTATAGTTTAACAATCCAAACGAGACTAAGAGGCTGAGCCCTGCCTAGAGCTCTTTCCCCAGGTTTCCTCATATTGCCAGTTGGCCAGGAGTAAGGAAGGTGGATATGACCAAGATCCCTCTTTCCACGAGGGGAGGGAAGGAGATGGGGAAACCCCCATCTAGAAATTTCACTTCCTCTTTAGGCTTGGATACTCACGACGCAATACCAGGTCTCACTCGCATTGGTTATTACAGGAGTCAACCAGCGTTTCAGCGGTTCCAGTTCCCATGCACTTGTCAGGACTTTCCCCAGTCTTGAAGATGGGGGTGATGGCGCCACGGACACTCCTTCCCCTGCTGCTCTTGGGAACCCTAGGTGTGACCGAGACCTGGGCTGGTGAGTGCGGAGTGGGGAGGGAATTGGCCTTTGCTGGGGCTGAGCTAGGGGGCCGTCAGACTCCTCACCTCGCCCACCCCGGCCCCCTCCTCCCCTCCGGCTCCGTCCACCCCGATCCCGGGGTCCCGCGCCCGGGCTCAGCCGCTCTCCGTCCCCAGGCTCACGCTCCCACTCCCTGCGGTATTTCGACACGCTGGTGTCCCGGCCCGGCCGCGGGGAGCCGCACTTCACCCTCGTCGGCTACGTGGACGACACGCCGTTCGTGCGCTTCGACAGCGACGCCGCGAGTCCGACGATGGAGCCGCGGGCGCCGTGGATGCACCTGGAGCCGCGCGAGTACCGGGAGCAGCAGACGCGGAACGTCCGGAGGCACGCGCAGACCTTCCGGATTCAGCTGCGGACCCTGCTGGGCTACTACAACCAGAGCCGGGACCGTGAGTGAGCCAGGGCCCGGGTGGGCGGCCACCTCCCCACGCCCAGCCCCAGTCCGGGCTCCACCGCTGGGCCGGGGGCTTTGGATGCTCCCCGGAGGGGGAGGGGTAACGGCGAGAAATCCGACCCAGTTTAATTTTCAGTTTAACAGGAAATCACATGTTCGGGGCTGATCCTCAGGGGCGGGTCCAGGGGCGGGGCTGATCCTCGGGGGCGTGGCGGGGCTGATCCTCAGGGCGGGGCGGGAGTGGGGCTGATCCTCGGGGGCGGGGTCAGGGGCGTGGCTGATCCTCAGGGGCGGGGCCAGGCTCTCACACCTACCAGAGGATCTGCGGCTGCGACGTGGGACCCGACGGACGCTTCCTTCGCGGGTACCGAACCGATGCCTACGATGGCGAGGATTTCATCTCTTTGAACGAAGACTTGAACACCTGGACCGCTTCGGACACCGTGGCTCAGATCACCCGGCGCAAGTGGGAGGCAACAGGTGAAACTGAACAAGAGAGAGCCTACCTGGAGAAGGAGTGCGTGAAGAGGCTCCTGAGATACCTGGAGAATGGGAAGGAGGCGCTAAAGCGCGCAGGTATGAGGGGCCTCAGGGCAACTCTTCTGTCTTGCCCTGGGGAAGAGGCTCCTGTGTCTGGGATAGAGCTGGAATCCTGCCTGCCCCTCTCTTCCACGGGAACAAAGAAGAAACACTCTTGGGTTTTTAGATCTAGCTTCAGAGTGACTTACCCAGGGGCCCTCCCTTCTCTCAGGACAATTAAGAAGCTGTTTCAGGAACCAGGAGGAGGTCAGAAATGGGGTGATGGATCACGGGTGTCTTTGAGGGTAATTTGAGAGGAAGAGGTGAAAACTTCAGTAATTTTGCATTCTTCCTCAGCCACTCCATTTCAAGACAAGAACAGAAGGATGGAGGAGGGGGGAAAGGTGGCATGCATGCACAACCCAACACTAGTATAAACATCAGGGTTAATTGAATCTTTAGAAAGTTCTAGAATCAGGATGAGCTAATCCAACGTAGCAGGATTACACCTGAAGCCTTGGCTCAAGTGGTAGGATACCAGCCTTGATTGAAAAAACCTAAAGGTCAGCACCCAAGCCCTGAATTTAAGCCTCAGAACCCCATGCACATAGAGTGTCTTTCTCTAGATGGAAGTGGGAAGGCTCCATGAAATAACCCTTTGGCTCTATAGCTGATTGTGAACCTTGGACCTCTTGGGTCTTGTTTTCTGACCCTCACTCAATTTGTCGCTGAGTTTCTCAGTGACCAATAGGTCAGAACCAGGTGTACCTATTCTCTTGGTTAAAGACATTGAGTCTCCTATTTTGGATTGGCTCATCCTGATTCTAGAACTTCCCAAAAAAGAGGTTAACCCAGGTGTTTGTGGGTATATTACTGTCTCGGTTATACACACATCTCCCTCCCATTCTCCTTTTCTATTGTCAGGATGGAGTGGCCCAAGAAGGATGCACAATTCCTGAATTTTCCATTTCTTCCTCTCAGATCCCCCAAAGACATACGTGACCCACAACCCTATCTCTAACCATGAGGTCACCCTAAAGTGCTGGGCACTGGGCTTCTACCCTGCGGAGATCACTCTGATCTGGCAGCGGGATGGGGAAGATCAGACCCAGGAAATGGAGCTTGTGGAGACCAGACCTGCAGGAGATGGAACCTTCCAGAAGTGGGCAGCTATAGTGGTGCCTTCTGGGGAGGAACAGAAATACACATGCCATGTGCAGCATGAGGGGCTGCCTGAGCCCCTCACCGTGACATGGGGTAAGGAGAGGATGTGGGCACAGAGCTTGTGGTCAGAGAAGCAGGAGCCCTTCTGGGGACTTCATTAGGGTCATGCCTGGGAGCTGGGGGTCATTTTTTCTTCTCTTTCCTCTTCCTTTCCCAGAGCCCACCTCTAAGCTCTTCATCCTCAGCATGGGAACTGCCATTTTCCTGATTCCCTTTGGAGTTGTGGCAGCTGCTATAATGTATATGAGGAAGAAAGCAGGTAGGAAGACACAGGGTCTTAGTTTTTTCCTTCCCACTCCTTTTAGAAGTGAGCCCTTCTCATTAATAGGAAACACCATCTACACATACACACACTCACTCAGCCTGGGGTCCTGTGTGCTGATTCTTACTCTATGGGAAAGGTCATGGAAAATGAAGGACAAATTTATTGCATTTGTGATGGTGGTGGTTTGGGGAACCTGATTCCTATCAGTGAGAGGAGAACGTCTCTGCTCTAGAAGGACAGTTGGTCTAGTCCCTCCTGCCTTCTGATCCTTTCCTGGGTCTGCAGTCAGTTATGGAAACTTCCCTGGAGCCCAGTAAATCTCTGATCTCTGACGGTTTTTTGTTTTGTTTTTCATAGCTTAAAAAAAATTAATTGGGCTGACAATATGGCTTAGTGGTAAAGTGCCTGCCTGGCATGCATGAAGCTCTGGGTTCAATTCCTTAGTACCACATAAGCAGAAAAAGCTGGAAGTGGCACTGTGGTTCAAGTGGTAGAGTGCTAGCCTTGACCAAAGAAACTCAGGGATGGGGCTGGGAAGGTGACTTAGTGGTAGAGTGGTTGCCTTGCATGCATGAAGCCCTGGGCTCAATTCTTCAGTACCACATAAGCAGAAAAAGCCAGAAGTGGCACTGTGGCTCAAGTGATAGAGCGCTAGCCTTGAGCTGACAAGTTGAGGGATAGCGCCCAGGCCCATAGTTCAATCCACCCCCTCCTCCTCACCCCCCCCCCCCCCCCCCCCCCCCCGCCAAAAAAAAAAAAAGAAGAAGAAGCTCAGGGACAGAGCCCAGGCCCTGACTTTAAGCCCCAATGACTGGCAAATAAATAACAAGTAAATCATCAGTCTGGACAAGGAATCAATGAGACTTGTGGGGAAGTGAGCCAGAAGCCACTGGGCCACCTAGTCCATATTCCCACCTTCAGTCACATCTTCTCTGGGCTCTGAGTACCTCATGCTATTTATTTTTTTCCATCTCAGGTACTGACAGTGCCCAGGGCTCAAATGAATCTCTTACAGCAAAAAGGTAAGACCCTGTAGAGCCTGATTTGGGGGCAAAGAAGAAGAGGACACAACTGGGTCCCCTCTTATTTTGTGACAAGGAGTCAGAAAATTTAAACCTTGCCGGGCACCTGTGGCTCACACCTGTAATCCTAGCTTCTCAGGAGGCTGAGTCTGAGGATTGTGGTTCAAAGCCAGCCTGGGCAGGAAAAGTCTGTGAGACTCTTACCTCCAATAAACCACTCAAAACCAGAAGTGGTGCTGTGGCTCAAGTGGTTAGAGCGCTGGCCTTGAGCTGAAGAGCTGAGGGACAGTACCCAGGCCCAGAGTTCAAGCCCCACGACTGACAAAAAAATAAAATTTAAATTTAAACCTTTTAGTGAGTGAAGGGTTGGTCAGAATGCTGCCATTTTAGCAACTGCACTGAATTTTCTCATCCCTCTTTTGTTCCTAGTACTAAAGAGCTGCCTGTGTGGGACTGAGTGACACATGATAAGTGCATGTCTCTCTGTGGTAACTTGAAAATTCCTGGATTGCCAGGCACCAGTGGCTCATGCCTGTAATCCTAGTCACTCAGGAGGCTGAGATCTGAGGATTGTGGTTCAAAGCCAGCCCTGGAAGGAAACTCCCTGAGACTCTTATCTCCAATAAACTACTCAAAAAAGAGGTGGCTCTGTAGCTCAAGTGGTAGATCACTCATCTTGAGCAAAAGAAGCTCAGGGACAGTGCCCAGGCCCAGAGTTCAAGCTCCAGGACAGGATAAAAAAAAAATCCTGGTTTCTCTTTCTGTAAAGATGTCTGGGTGTGTTTTGCATTCTTAAAGGCATAGTGTAAAGAAGTGGGGAGGCTGGGAGGCAGCTCAGTGGTAGAGTGCTTGCCTTGCTTGTATGAAGCCCTGGGTTCAGTTCCTTAGCACCACATAAGCAGAAAAAGCCGGAAGTGGCACTGTAGCTCAAGTGGTAGAGCGCTAGCCTTGAGCGGAAAAGTTCAGGCCCCATGACTAGCAAAAAAAAAAAAAAAAATCGAATCTGTGAGACTCTCATTTCCAACTAACTACCAGAAAACTGAGTGGCACTGTGACTCAAAGTGGTAGAGCACTAACCTGGGGCCAAAAAAAAGCTCAGGGACAGCACCCAGGCCCTGAATTCAAGCCCTAAGGCTGACAAAAATGAAATAAGAGGCTTGGAATGTGGCTTAGTGGTAGAGTGCTTGCCTACATGCATGAAGCCCTGGGTTCCTCAGTACCACATACACAGAAAAGGCTGGAAGTAATGCTTTGGCTTGAGTGGTAGAGCACTAGCCTTGAGCACAGAGAGGCTCAGGGACAGTGCCCAGGCCCTGAGTTTAAGCTCTAGGACTAGCAAAAATAAGTAAGTATAATATTAACAGAATTAGAATCTTTTTTTTCCCATCCTGGGGCTTGAACTCAAGACCTAGCCACTGTCCTGAGCTGCTTTTGCTTAAGGCTAGTGTTAAGACCCATTTAGCCAAAGTAACTCCATTTTGTCCTGGCAGCCATTTGGTTTGTAAAGTATAAGTAAGAGCTGATCTTGCCCACACCTGTTGTTTGTGCAACGAGGGCAAGGCGACCCTGTCTGTAGGGGAACCAGAAAGAAAGAAAGAAAAACAATTTTCAAAACAGCTAGTTCCCAGAAACGAAGCCCCAAGAACAAAGTTGGGACAGGCCAGGTGGAGGCGTCCAATCAGTAAAAGCACATATGTAACACTTCTGTTATAACCAATGAGAGTAAAATTAGCTACATGCTTACAGTTAGTTTGTGATTTGCGGTTTTGCCCTATAAAAGCTAGCCTGTAAGACTAGGTGGGGTCGCTCTCTCCATAGAGATGGCCCAGACCATCAGTTTGATTCTCAATGCTTGGTGTGAAATAAAGCTTTGCTTGACTTTTGCTTTGTATTGGCTCATTTCTTTTTTTTTTTTGGGGGGGGGGGGGGGGTCCGGTCATGGGGCCTGAACTCTGGGCCTGGGCGCTGTCCCTCAGCTCTTCAGCTCAAGGCTAGTGCTCTTACCACTTGAGCCACAGCGCCACTTCCGGCCTTTTTCTTTTTGCTTATGTGGTGCTGAGGAATTGAACCCAGGGCCTCAGGCATACAAGGTGAACACTCTAACACTGAGCCACCTTCCCAGCCCCTGGTCTCATTCCTTTAATCAAGGACCCTTATCAACTAACACTCTGCCACTTGATCCACAGCACCATTTCTGACTCTTTCTGTTTATGTGATACTGAGGAATTGAACCCAGGATTTCATGCATTAGCTAGGCAAGCACTTTTACCACTAAGCCACATTCCCAGTCCCAGCACCATTATTTTTTACATACCATGTGCTTGCGCTTCAAAGACACTAGAGGGCTCCATGAACATGTTGAAACCACAAATGATGTAAGGCTGTCAACAGTCCTTGTAAAACAGGACTTAGTCAAAATGCCCTTCACTAGACAAATTGCCTTTGTTAATGAAACTGTAACTTTATTTTACCTTTTAAAAAAACGTATCGAAATGAACTCCAGAAAATTGAAAAAGTTATAATGAAAAACAGATATGTAAAGAGAGATGATATAATTAATAATTCAACAGAGGGGCTGGGAAGGTGGCTCAGTGGTAGAGTGCTTGCCTTGCATGCATGAGGCGCTGGGTTCGATTCCTCAGCACCACATAAGCAGAAAATGCTGGAAGTGGCGCTGTGTCTCAAGTGGTAGAATACTAGCCTTGAGCTGAAGAGCTCAGGGACAGCGCCCAGGCCCAGAGTTCAGGCCCCATGATCAGCACAAAAACACAATCTAGAGACCAGAATCTAGAGATGTCATCCTACTGATAGAACTTTAGCTGAGTGAGAGCTAAGCACTGATTTCAAGTCTCAGTATCAGCATAAAAAAACATGTCAGCTAGGCATTGGTGATGCACATCTCAATCCTAGCCACTCAGGAGACTGAGATCTGAGAGTTGCAGTTTGAAGCCAGCCAAAGCAGGAACATCCATGAAACCTTATCTCCAATAAACTACCCCACAAAAACAGAAGTGGTGTGGCTCAAGTGGTAGAGCACTAGCCTTGAGCTGAAGAGCTGAGGGACAGCACCCAGGCCAAGTTCAGGCCCACGACCGGACCCAAAAAAAAAAAAAAAATGATAGTAAGATAGGAAACATACTCATTTAAGAAATGCTATAGGGGGCTGGGAAGTTGGCTCAGTGGTAGAGCGCTTGCCTTGCACGCATGAGGCCCTGGGTTCGATTCCTCAGCACTACATAAGCAGAAAGAAAAAAGCGGGAAGTGGCGCTGTGGCTCAAGTGGTAGAATGCTAGCCTTGAGTTGAAGAGCTGAGGGACAGCGCCCAGGCCCAGAGTTCAGGCCCCACGACCAGACCCCCCTAAAAAAGAAATGCTATAGGGGCTGGGAAGGTGGCTCAGTGGTAGTGTTTGCCTTGCATGCATGAGGCCCTGGGTTCGATTCCTCAATACCACATATACAGAAAAAGCAGGAGGCTGTGGCTAAAGTGATAGAGTGCTAGCCTTGAGCTGAAGAGATGAAGGACGGCGCCCAGGCCCAGAGTTCAGGCCCCATGACAACCAAAAAAAGAAAGAAATGTTGTCACTCAGAGATTTTTTTTTTTTGGGGGGGGGTCCGGTCATGGTGCCTGAACTCTGGGCCTGGGCCTGCACTCCCGGTCCATTAGCTTTTTTTTTTTTTTTTTTTTGAACATGGAGATTGAACTCAAGAGTCTGAGTGCTATCCCAGAGCTCTTTTGCTCAAGGCTAACTCTACCTCTTTGAACGATAGCTCTACTTCTGCTATTTTGAGTGGTTAATTGGAGATTAGAGTCTCACAGGGACTTTTCTGCCTGGGCTGGCTTCTAACTGCCATCCTCAGATCTCAGCCTCCTGAACAACTTGGATTACAGACATGAGCGGCCAGCACCAGGCTGTCCCTTAGCATTTTCACTCAAGGCTAGCTCTCAATCATCTAAGCCACTTTCACTTCTCCCAGAAGGTCGCTGGTAAATTGGAGATAAGAGTCTCAGATTTATCTGCTGCCTCTCTTTGAAGTACAGTCTTTCACATTTTACTTAGCCTCCTGAGTAGCTAAGATTACACCTCTGAGCTGCCAGCAAGGCTACAATTGTCTATTTTCATTCTTGCACCTAGAACTATTCCTAATAAAATGTGTTTAGCAAATCCATAGGAATTGACCAAATTAAATTTTTTAAAGAGTGGAAGAAAAGTACTGCAAGATAAAGAAAGATGAAAAATTGAAAATGCTGAGCCTGTGGGTGGCATGGACAAGTGACACTTCCAGAAGAACTAGGAGCTGGAGCTGGAAGGGAAATGGGGAGGACTGGGAGGGTGAGGGGGAAGAAGGATGAAGGGTTGGTTTCAGGGAGCAAACAGGCTTTAGGTGACAAACCCTGCGGGCGGGCGGGGCTATGTTGAGGTGGGGCTGCATGCTGAGCATTCTTGTTTAGCTCCACTACTTAGAGGGAGAAAATTCCTATTTGTTTAGCTCCTACCACAGTATTCAGAGCAACCTCTGAAAGAAGTTTTAAAAATGAAAAAAAAAATGAGCCTGGTGGCTCACACCTGTAATCCTAGTTATTCAGGAGGCTGAGATCTGAGAATTGTGGTTCAATGCCAGCCCTGGCAGGAAAGTCCATGAGACCCTTGTCTCCAATTAACCACTAAAAAACTGGAAGTGGCTTTGTGGCTCAAAGTGGTAGGGTGCTAGCTAGCCTTGGGCAAAAGAGCTCAGAGATAACACCCAGGCCCTGAGTTCAAACCCTATGACCAACAACAACAAAAAAAAAAAAAAAGGGAAAAAAAGAATTACATTCTGGCACCAGTGGCTCTGGCCTGTAAACCTAGCTACTCAGGAGGCTGAAATCTAAGAATCACAGTTTAAAGCCAACCCAGGCAGGAAAGTTCCTGAGACTCAAATCTCCAATTAAACACCAAAAAGCTGGAAGTAGAGCTGTGGTTCAAGTGGTGGAGTGCTAGCCTTGAGCACAAAGCTCAGGAACAACTCCAAGGCCCTGAGTTCAAGCCCCATGACTGGCACAGAGAGAGAGAGAGAGAGAGAGAGAGAGAGAGAGAAACAGAGAGAAAACCCAACCATTCTGGGTCCTTCCAGGAAAATAAGTACTCTGACCTGGTTTCTGATTCAAAGGCAATTGTGTAATTGTGTGAAATTCCTAGGGACTAGTCCTCACAATCTGGGTATTTTGGATAATGTGTGAAAAAAAAAATCAGGTTTTAGGGGCCCCTCACAGGAGGGAGTGAATGAGATGCAGCCCAAGGCTTTCTCCTCCTCACCCCATGGTGGCCAAAAAGAAAGAGGTGGAGAGGAATTGACTTGGTAGCTTCAAAAGATGAGGCCTGAGTTTCCACCAGGGCACTAAAGCTATGCCCAGACTCAGCAGGCTCAGCTTGACAGGTGTGTGATAGAGACACAAGGCACCAACGCAGAATGTGCAGCCCTCCAAGACCATCTGCCTGAGAACCTGTGCACTCCTAAGACTGGAGCCAAGAAAGGCAAGAGAGTGGGCTAGAGGCTGAGACTGGATGCCATGGAGCCAGGGCTGTTGTAAC